TATCTTATGCGTTTAAATATTGAGATACATCTTACCTTACGGCAATAGACGCAGAAACAATACTTGCAGATGGGACAAATCGGTGCGTCATCGCCCGGGTTTCTGATAACCGGATATTGACAAGAAATTTTTGGGCAATACACTACATCATCCATAGTGTCTAATGTTACTCGCAACATAATCTCTTCGTATTGGAAAAACAAGTCTGGACAGAGAGTCTTAACGTCGTTGTCACTTATTTTGCGTTTGCAATCTATCGTCGGACACAATATAGCATTAATACGCTCGATGATGTTGATGCGTATGTGCTTCTCCATGCAACTTTTACAGTAGATGTGTTTACAGTTTTCCAATTCTATACAGTTCAGTCCTGCACATTCCTCGAAGCATATGCAACAAGGATAAACATTCTTGTGAAATTGTACTTTATGTTGCTGCTTGTTGTAAGATATCAATAATCTTTTTATATCTAATAACAATGCACCATTCTGAGCCCTGGGATCGGATAACTGCACCAGGCGTAACATGACATTATCTCGTAACGTGTGAATGAGATGCAAGTAGGAAATGTCTAACGTTTCGTGTATGTTTAAAAAATTGAAAATATCATCTTGTAGGAAATTTAGCCATACGAAGATGACCTCGTTACCCTGGTTCTCTTCCCACATTTCATCTAATTTCTGACAGATGAAAGAGATGTCCCAAGGTGTCAACCAGACAACGGAGATGTAGAAATTTGGTGGCTTCTGAGATGGATACGTATTCGGGAGATTGATGTACATTCTGATTGGCGGCAAGTACTCAATGAAGATGCTATCGTCGGAAATAGCTACATCAGAGGGACTGCCGTTATCAAACTTTATTTCTAGTTTTTTAGAAAATTTTGGATATATGGTGATCGAGCATTTTATATATTCGCTTTTTGTGTAGAAGAATTCTGTTTCGTCGTAGATACTAGAAAGGACAACCATTTCATCCTCCTGTCGTTGGCGATTGCTTGCAGTCTCACAAGACATCTTGTTATCTTGATCAATGTGATCTTACTAAAATCCAAATTAATATAATGTAGTTCAACTGATTTTCAAAGAGCATTCATATATGTATAGATACAGAAAAAATAACAAACCTATTAAAGAAGTTATTAGAATTACATTCTATATTCTTACAATTAGAATTCTACATTCTTTTACTGAATCTGTAACATAAAAAGACAGAGTAACAAAAAAATATGTTCCAGATACAACTTATTACAGATACAAGCTTAAAATTTATAAATGAAAAATTAATATAATATAATAATAAAAATAGAAAATTATATATAATACAAATTATGATTAAAAATATATATGTTTATATACATATATATATAATATCACAGACTTTGCGTGACAATAAGAGACTCCCGAAGTTATTTTAAGATAAAAATTCTAATACCAAAATGTGTCGAGGCTATAATAATTTTAAATGTAATTAAAATATTAAATGTTTAAAGAATAATAAAATTGGCCGAAATTCGCGCACTTAGGCACGGTATGTCGCACAGTAATAATAATAATAATAAAAAAAATTTATTTATTTGGTATTTAACACAATAATTAATTAATAATCAGCGTATGTATCCATATCTAAAAAATGGAATAAAATGAAAAAGCAATTATACCAGTATCGAAAATATAATTGATGTTAAAAACGTCTTCATTGCGCAATGTATATAATAAAATACTATAACATACATTATAATAAATGTTATAATAAAAATGCAGTTAAAATTCATATTTATAAAGATATTAAAAAAAATAAAAGTATTAAAAGAAAATAAAAAAAAAACAGAAATTAATAAATGTTAAAAAATTGTGTCGAAACTTAATAAAAATCGGATAAATAAGAGAATTAAAAATTATAATTTCTCGTTGTAATTTAAAGAGCCGTCTCTTATTACAAAGATCAAAATAAGATATAGATGGCGCGGAGAGAGGAGCATTTAGAATCTTACTAATTCCTAATCGTTGTATTAATTAATTATATCCGCAGGAACTTCAACAGGGAACTTAACGAAAAATAAGAAACAATTTGAAAAAAGGAATTTAATCACGAATACCATTCTGTACTTGGATTATGACCCTAATGACGTATTATAATGTATATGAATAAAAAAAAATCGGTCGTAAGAAGACACACGTGGGTATCCAAATGATGAAACTACGGCCTAATTTTATTAGCAGATTTTTTTTATTCATCGTTATTCCTGGCGCCGTTAATTATAAATGTTTTTTTTGGGGGGGGGGATTTTAAAAACTAAATAAATAAATAAATACATATATAAGAAACAAAAAAGGAGATATAAAAGAAGTACAGTTTAAAGTTCAACTTGTTAGGGCTTTCAGGTCGTACATGTAAACATTACTTTAGTTTACTCGAAATTATATTTTTGGAAAGTTAAACGAAACAAGTTTTTAAAGAAATTGCGTCGTATTAGTTCAGCACCGTGTAATGGAGTAGACGCACATGGCAGTAATAACGTAAAGTTTAACGCTAACGTAACGTTAGTCACGATCAGTTGCATGGTAATACCGCGTGATGTTTTTATTTTGTGAATTAAATCCTGCCATATGCGTTGGAGCAGTTAACGTGCAATTAATTAAATATTTCTGTATTCTGTTT